GATCAAATTTGTTTAAAATGTTGCAAGTTGAATTTAATAGTATTTTATACTTTCTTAATATGTTTCTTAAAAGTCAAGTTCGAGTCCAGTATGACTCCAAGATACTTGAAGTGGGAGACTAGTTCTATTTCTGCTCAGTTTTAAAACACGTTGGATCCTTCGATTTTGACTGGTCAGGTAGGGGGTTTTGAACTGAACATCAAGCATACTGCTTTTTTTTTTGCGCCGTTGGGGAGAAAATCAGCGACAGACTATGGCTGTGACTTGTGTGTGACTGACCCGAGCTTGCGCCCCGTCGTTCTTATAGCTCCGCCCCTTGGCTCCAACCCCCCTTCCTCCCCCCACATCTACAGGTGAAAATTACTTTAGCGACACATTCATCGCAAGAAGTGTAGCAAAAGTCAAGGCCGCAAATTCTTCGATTTATACTGCCACAGAGCAGATTCGTGAAGTTGTAATGACTGATTTGAGAGGTTGTAATAACCAAGTTGCAGTTGTAATGGAAAATATATTTAAAAAATATAAATGTTTCTGCAAGTGAACATTTCATCACTAAGTTCATTTTGTTTCTACAAGCTACACAAGTTTTTCTTTCTTTCTGTGACTTCAAATTTGGTTCACAGATACGTGGATATTTTATACAAGTGTAAATACTATGCACACAAGCTCAGAGTTTATTTCTGCAAGTGCTCACATCAGGTTTTACATGCCCTCGCATTTGCACCATATCTACCTTCATATTTATTAGTGTAGATTTATATCTTGCCGTCACAAAAGCAGGACAAAATCATCTGTGTTGTCATGAGTTCCATGAACTGTTGTTGACCTTACCTTGACCTTGGACTCGTACTCCTCATACTGAAGGTGTTTGATCATGTCAGGGAACCAAACAGACAGGCCATAGTAACTGTGACAAAATGCAGAATGTAAAACACTGAATCAATAACAAGAGCAAACAACAACCAGAATGAAGCTGCACTCTGTATCACATAGTTATAAGACTGATAATCCTCTGCTTAATAAATGTTTTTGAGTTATTATATTAATGATTATTTAAAGATGTAATTATAATTTTTCATAGCCTTACTCTTCGAGTTATTCTACCATGTAAGTGTGACCCGTTTCAAATCTGTTAAATCTGTTTCTTATACACTGGATGATGATGTAATGCATGACATGGTTAACTCACCTGAAAGCCATACAGAACCAGATGATGGCCATGAAGAGAGTAGCAAACCTCAGCTCTGCAGACAGGAGTGATGCTACGTTCTTCAACACCTGGGACAAACATCCACACACAGCCGTGAACAACGCTACATCACAGTAAGCACACTGCAAAATAATCTTCACAATATAATATCAGAGAGCGTTTCTGTTTTAGAGATAGTAGGGGGAAACCTATTTGTATTGGTTTCAGGATAGAACAATGGCCTAAAGCTATTTGAAGTTGTGTTGCATTTTGACCGTTAGAAGTTGCAGACTTACAATACTTAATTAAAATATAAAATGTACCAATAGCATTTTAGACAAAGGTCTAAGGCGGTGTTTACACGAGAACGAAACAGTTTGTATCTGCTACTTTTCTCTTTTCACACGAGGCTGTAACGGAACCGCGGAAACGGACCCCTAAAACGATAACGGGTCCCAAGGTGGATAGATCTGCAAACGGAACGCTCTGGGGGGGGGCAAACGGCTCTGTACGGGTGCCAAACGGCTCCGTGTGTACGTCCTATACGATAATTTTCCTGATAACAATGAAGCCATAGCCCCACCTCTCCCCACCTACTGCTACTGCTACTGACCATGCTACAGATGTTAGTGCAAAATCTACAGCTCCTCTACCACAACCATCAGCAACAAGTGGACATGGAGAACTAAATGAACTACATGTTGCTAAATCCACCGTGGAGAATAAACAGAAGGGCAACCATGGCAACCATGCTCGGGGGTCTTCTTCGCTGCTTTTGGTGTATTTTGTGGCAGAAGTCCAGCGCCACTTACAGGCCCGGCATATGTACTACAGCGTTTCCAGTGGTCTCGTATGAACGGACACGTTAAATGAGCCGAATGCGTGTGAACGGAATACTTTTTTGATAACGAATTCGGTCCGTTTGCGCTCCCGTGTAAATGGGGTCTAATAAGAAGGAGGCTATCATAGCTTATCTACTCCTGTGGTCAACAGTCTAGAGAGTGTACATGCTTAGCTAATGTGCTAACCTTTATAGAATACTATGTGAAAAAATAACAGGAGTCAATAGTCAACGATCACAGCTGTCAAGCTACAGCTAGTGGAGGACTGTATGTACTCATACTTAACCTAACGCTGGGCCAACATGTTTCAGACCTTATCTCTACTCTATTGTGTGTGCAGTACTTACCAGTTTACAGAGTGTGAGTGAGCGTACAGCCCATCGCTGTAAAGCTGTTCCTGTTGCGCTCTGAATCTCAATAAACTCATCCTCTGCTGTCTTAGGTGCCTTGATATGGGTCACCTGAAAATATATAAAGGAAGGAGAGTTAAAAAGAACATATTTGTCTAAGAGGCTTCTCCTGGTGGACCCGCTGCCTTTTTGGGCTTCAATTCAACACAACTCAAGCTCCCTTCATTAACCACGGGACTACAAACATCTTTAGGATGTGGAATGTTTGACTTACCCTTTATCAACGTCAACATTTTGGAAGAAACCATGTACCAGAACACTCATATTGTTATAGACTCATAATGTCAGAAATGTTGATACACCTGTTGAATCCTACTTAATGCCCTTTTACGGGTGCACACTATTGGACACTATTGGATTGACCACCTCTCAATTAATCTCTTAAAATGATGTGGATTATGGCTGGATATGACCAGATACAGTGCCTATACTGTGTCTGTGGGTAGCAGCAGTGTAACACACCTGTTTATATGCATGTTTGAAATTTCACCAGAAGATGAAGAAAGTGTTCTGCTTCATTTGCTGTGCTGGATTTTCATAACAGACACTTTCACTATGAATACCACCAATGCTACCACTAATTTGAAAAATGTCTCTGTTTATATTCAGGTGTCCGAGTTAGCCCTGACAGTGCCACATTTAGAAAGTTTGCACACTGCCATGACCTTGAAACTGAAACAGCTAAATGGAATTCAGCTATCATTTATTCACTCTACTCTAACCTCTTAAAAATGTGACTGGCCATCATGTAGGCAACCACCTCTCTTTTAGAGCCTTTAGTGGGCTCATTCTAAAGCAAGAATACATTTTTGACCTGGGATGATATGAAACTAGAAAACATGAGGAATATAATGCTGCAAAATGTCCTGTTTCGGAGGGAGACTAACTAACGCTTTAAGCTAATGCTTTGGACAAACGTGTCAGCTAACTGTAATGTAAAGTAATGCCATCCAGTTTGAAAAATAATCATGCAGTGTTTTGCAGGCAGAATACATGTGTTATTATCACCTATTTTAAAGGGTTGATATAAATATATTACATTACATTACATTACATTGCATTTAGCTGACGCTTTTATCCAAAGCGACTTCCAATAAGTGCGTTCGACCAACAAAATACAAACTTGAAGAAAACAGAATCATAGAAGTACATCAGGTTTCATAGAGCTAAAACATTTCAAGTGCTACTCAACTAGCCACGTGTTTTTGCTGATGGGAACTTGGGTCCCCCTAGCAGTGCGGGTGCAGCGAGCTGTTTGGCTGATGCAGAGCGGAGTGCACGTGCTGGGGTGTACGGTTTAACCATGTCCTGGATGTAAGAAGGGCCAGATCCATTCGCAGCATGGTACGCAAGTACCAGTGTCTTGAAGTGGATTCTAGCAGTTACCGGAAGCCAGTGAAGGGAGCGGAGGAGCGGCGTGGTGTGGGAGATTTTAGGAAGGTTGAAGACCAGACGAGCAGCTGCATTCTGGATGAGCTGCAGAGGTCGAATGGCACATGCAGGTAGACCAGCCAGTTCCAGTAGTCTAGGTGTGAGATGACGAGAGCCTGGACCAGAACCTGCGTCGCTTTCTGGGTCAGCTGGGGACGTATCCTCCTGATGTTGTAAAGAGTGTATCTACAGCAGCGGGTTGTAGCAGCGATGTTTGCAGTGAAGGACAGTTTGT